AAAAATACCTCAAAATGCATCCCCTATTCGTATGGGACGAATCCAGAAGGGGTTTCTGCTTTTGGAAGATGGTACTGTCGCATTACTATCATCTCGCTTCTTAGCAATTCTCGAAAAATGGAATCATCGACCGCGTTGTCAACGAGTGGTTGCTGTTGGCAGTTGCTATCTTCAAAATACCCCCGACCACCGCCCCCCTTCGTAGGGAACGAATCCAGAAGGGGTTGTGCTTTTGGAAGATGGTACTGTCGCATTACTATCATCTCGCTTCTTAGCAATTCTCGAAAAATGGAATCATCGACCGCGTTGTCAACGAGTGGTTGCTGCTGGCAGTTGCTATCTTCAAAATACCCCCGACCACCGCCCCCCTTCGTAGGGAACGAATCCAGAAGGGGCTTTTACTTTTGGAAGGTGGTACTGTTGCATTACTATTACCTCGCTTCTTAGCAATTCTCGAAAAATGAAGCCATCGACCGCATTGCCAGCGAGTGGTTGCTTTTGGCAGTTGCTATTTTCAAAATATCTCCTTTTTTGGTAACGAACGAATCCAGAAGGGGTTTTTACTTTTGAAAGGAGGTACTGGCACATCACCAAAACCTCGCTCTTTAGCAGTTCTCAAAAAATGAAATCATCGACCGCGTTATCAGCGAGTGGTTGCTGTTGGCATGCACTATCGTTCAGGCTATTCTGCCCCACACCGGAGAATTTTTAATTTCACTATGATATTCTAAAACAGAAACATTCAAACACCAAAATCACACGTGGTAAGAAATACCTTGTATGAAACGAGTAGTTATAGTTACCAATTTTGATTCAATGTAACGACGATGCGCAGTAAGTTTTTGCAAAAATGAAAGAGAATTCTCGTCCTCGCCAAAACTAAATTTTATACGTGAGGAAAAAAAGCAGCAAAATTAGAAAACTAAACGTAGTGGTTTGAAACGAAAGAACAGAACCCAACTGTGATTCATCAAGAGATGGGGCGAACAAAGCTAGGAGACTTTTTTCACGGCCACATGTGTGAATATCTCATCTGATGATAAGTGTTGTGCTGGATACTGTCATGAAGAGGACAAAAAAAAGGCATAAATCAGCTGGAAGGAGCAATTTACCGCCTTATCTGGCAACTGGCAGAAATCGCATTTTGCCTGCGGGTGAAAAAGTGACCGCTGAGAACAGATGAAAAGATGATACATCTGAGAGGTGAGTACTGCCGTGAACGGAGCCCTTCCTCGCAAATCGTTCTGGACCAGTGGGGAATCGAACCACTTCCTTTCATGTCTAGATGCAATGTGTTACCACTACACCACCGACCCTTGTGCTTCAGCCTGACAGCACATTTACTGTGTATGTGCCTTTTAAGGCAAAATGCCTTCGTTTTCATCTCCTTTTTCGTTTGCCGCGGCTTCTTGGCCGGCTTTTCGTGGGTTTTCCGCGACAAGTACAGCTAGAAACGGGGAAAGTCCGGAGCTAGTGATGCTCAACAGACATCAATTACATCTCGGAAAGATAACTGCCTCGCCAAGCATTTCTAACGGAAGAATGATTAAGTTGGCAATCCTTTCAGAAGACGAAAAAAAAAAATTTTAGAATAACCAGCAATGACCAACTCATTCAGCACTGGTCAAAGCAACTAAAATAGTTACCATCTGCACAGATAAGGAAACAATCCGTAAATTTACAGCTCTTTTCAAACATTTAAAACTGAGCGAATTTGATGGGAGGGGAGAAACAAACACTTCAAACACAAGCATACCGTCTTCTTCGTTCTTCTGGAGGAAAACGAATCAGTGTCTTTGTTGGTTCGATATCCAGGAAAAGATCATCTTGCGAAAGTACGAACATAACTGGATCGTGCAGTGCTGCTGTCAAGAATATCTCAAAAAAGTTTCATCAATAATCCATTGAGATAAATCCAGAAGTCGTTATACAATGTAAATTTTTTTTTTTTTTGATAATCATTACACTGTTCTTCATGTCTTCTTCGACCACCCACAGGTTAAGTAAATTATGTTCGATCGATCTTTTTATCGTCACCTTAAATCGATCCCACTCTACCATAACTAGCAGCGGAGAAGGGTAATTTTCAGAATTTTTTTGAAGAGAACAAAGCGAAACTTTTTACATTCTCCACGTATTTCTTTTCAGCAAAATTCATACCTCTCCCTCCTTCCCCTCTCCTCCCCCCTCCCCCCCGTGCTAAGGCCTTACCACCCTCTTTTCCTTTCAACAACCTTTACAACCTCATATCCATTTCACAAATATTCCCAATGAATTCCGCTAGAAAAGATAACTTTTCAAAAAATTTTACTACTGTTGTTTTGATTGCTGATCCCGGTGAAGTGAGGTAAAATTGCAATAAAAAAGATGGGTTTCTGGTATCGTGTGTGAATTCGTCAATGAATCGAAGGAATCTATGTTAGATACAGAAATAGACCAATGTAAGAACAAGCTACGGCCTTGCGTTAAAGTCGAATCAGAAAAAAAAGGAATAAAGCGATGATTTCCCAACGTTCCACTAAAGAACGATAAGAAAATAACTGTAATAGTTTTTGTCGTTTTAGCCCATAAGCAGCTGCTTCTGTCTTTTCCTGT